TTATTTAATGCGTCTAAGCAAGGTTATCCAAATCTGGAAGTCATGGAGAAAGGTGCCAATTTTGAGACCTAGCTCTGTGTTACTGTGGTGGGAAAAGTGAATCAGGACACTGTTGATCTCCCCATGTATAGAGATACCCTGTTCTCTTCTGCCATCTGGCTCAAACACGGTTGGATTTGCTTTCTTTCTTCAGATGTCATCTTTCCTTCCTCTCTCTACAATTTAGATGAAGTGGTGAACAGCTTTGATCTGACTGTTCATAGGAGAAGAGCCTAGATGACTTGAAGGAAGGGGATTTGATGTAAGTCTGTAAAATCACGAGTAATGTGGACAGGGTAAATAGGGACTGACTGTGTTCATTTTTTGGTGGCACTCTGCTGGATATCTCAGTATCTTTCTTGCACTAGGAAGCCCAAAACTGGGTACAGGACTCCAGGTGTGATCTAACAAGTACTGAGTGGAGGGGAAATACCACTTTCCTTGATGTTCTTTCCAACGTGGTCCCACACATGTTTGGCTATGAGATCACATTACTGACTCCTCTTGAACTTGTTCCCCAGCAGCCCAGTCCTTTTTTATGCCAAGTTGCTTTCAAGCCAGGCAATGCCCAGCCTGTACTCTTGTGTGGGGTTATTTCATTTCAGATGCAGAACTTTGCATTTCACTTTGCTGAACTTCATGAGGTTCCTGGGAGGCAATTTTTCCAGCCCATTGAAGTCCTGTTCTTTATTTAATGCGTCTAAGCAAGGTTATCCAAATCTGGAAGTCATGGAGAAAGGTGCCAATTTTGAGACCTAGCTCTGTGTTACTGTGGTGGGAAAAGTGAATCAGGACACTGTTGATCTCCCCATGTATAGAGATACCCTGTTCTCTTCTGCCATCTGGCTCAAACACGGTTGGATTTGCTTTCTTTCTTCAGATGTCATCTTTCCTTCCTCTCTCTACAATTTAGATGAAGTGGTGAACAGCTTTGATCTGACTGTTCATAGGAGAAGAGCCTAGATGACTTGAAGGAAGGGGATTTGATGTAAGTCTGTAAAATCACGAGTAATGTGGACAGGGTAAGGAAGCCCAAAACTGGGTACAGGACTCCAGGTGTGATCTAACAAGTACTGAGTGGAGGGGAAATACCACTTTCCTTGATGTTCTTTCCAACGTGGTCCCACACATGTTTGGCTATGAGATCACATTACTGACTCCTCTTGAACGTGTTCCCCAGCAGCCCAGTCCTTTTTTATGCCAAGTTGCTTTCAAGCCAGGCAATGCCCAGCCTGTACTCTTGTGTGGGGTTATTTCATTTCAGATGCAGAACTTTGCATTTCACTTTGCTGAACTTCATGAGGTTCCTGGGAGGCAATTTTTCCAGCCCATTGAAGTCCTGTTCTTTATTTAATGCGTCTAAGCAAGGTTATCCAAATCTGGAAGTCATGGGGAAAGGTGCCAATTTTGAGACTTAGCTCTGTGTTACTGTGGTGGGAAAAGTGAATCAGGACACTGTTGATCTCCCCATGTATAGAGATACCCTGTTCTCTTCTGCCATTTGGCTCAAACACGGTTGGATTTGCTTTCTTTCTTCAGATGTCACCTTCTTTCCTTCGTCTCTCTACAATTTAGATGAAGTGGAAGCAAGGTTATCCAAATCTGGAAGTCATGGAGAAAGGTGCCAATTTTGAGACCTAGCTCTGTGTTACTGTGGTGGGAAAAGTGAATCAGGACACTGTTGATCTCCCCATGTATAGAGATACCCTGTTCTCTTCTGCCATCTGGCTCAAACACGGTTGGATTTGCTTTCTTTCTTCAGATGTCATCTTTCCTTCCTCTCTCTACAATTTAGATGAAGTGGTGAACAGCTTTGATCTGACTGTTCATAGGAGAAGAGCCTAGATGACTTGAAGGAAGGGGATTTGATGTAAGTCTGTAAAATCACGAGTAATGTGGACAGGGTAAATAGGGACTGACTGTGTTCATTCATTTCTAGTACAAGAAACGAGAGGACTTCACATGAAACTAGCAGGTGTCACAAGTGAAAGAAAATGGCTCCACACACCCATGGGTAGTTAGTCTGCTAGACTTCTTGCTGCAAGATGCTTCAGGCACAGACATTTTATTTGAGTTCAGAAGGGGACCAGACAGGCTGATGGAAGAAAAATTGATTGAGGATTGTCACGTGTATAGATGAGACATCTGCCTCAGGAAGTCTGAAGTCAGACATTGCAGGAAGCCAAGAGAGTATTCTGAGGGGGGAAAAATTGAGGAAATATGTCTGAGCATTTACTACGCAAATAGCAATTCCCCTGTTTTTCTTCACAAAAAATGAATGTGTCTGAGTTCATTTTGTACTGCAGGCAGTGGCTTAGCCACGACTGTATTAGGAAGTGTTTCACTCATATGAATTTGATGTTTTTCTAGTGTCCGTTGACCTTGTTTTTATTACGCCAGCATAGTGGGATGCTGCTAAGATACAAACCTTAGTCTGTCCTGAGTTCTTCCCCTGCTCTGTACCACAACTGTGGAGACAGAAGAGACAGAGTACGTCACGGCTTTTCAGTTCCTCCAAAACTGGTTGTGTAAGGCAAAGCTACTCTTCAGCTGCACCCTATTTTTCTTATGTTGCAGGCTGTCTCATAGTTTTCTTGAAGTCTGGTCATTCCTTGCTTACCTATAAGCTTTTGAGTTTCAGAACAATGTTAGTCTTTAATGCAATATCTGTTTTAAAAAAAAAACCCAAACCACAAACCTTTGTACTAGCTCCTAGTATAAAGCTAGCTCCTGCTAGCCTAATACAAAGCTCTTTGTACTAATGAGGTTTAAGAGGAGTCATTAACCACCTTGAGGAATCATGACATTTGTGGTAGTAAGTTTACCACTTCGGACGGTTTTTGTTAATGCCTTTTGCAAGGAGATGACAGTGTTGCTGGGAGGTTCCTCATCTGCATAGCTTTCAGGGCCACAGCCAAAAGAGTCAGGCAGCTATGCTTTGGGGAATACCTGTCCTCTTCTGCTGGGACTGTAAGCCAAGGAGATTGTGTTCTTTATCACCACACTTTCAGTGAGGCTTCAATATCTGCAAGCCCAAGGTGGCCGAAGGAACCCCTCTGAGCACTTAATGTAGTACTTACTAGTTTTGCATTCTCAGTGAAAGAAAAGGTGAAGGCACTGAATGCTCTTTTGCTGAAAATACATGTTTGTTTGGGGGTTTTTCACATGATATACCTTCAGTTTTGTCATGTGTTCAAGAACAGATGTCTATACAACTTTCTTTTCTGGACTTGAATGGAGACAGCCCAAATGTACCATTTGAACCCCATCTTCATTTTTATTTCTATGTGCTCTGTCACATTTCCTACCAGGTAAGATTTGAGAGAGATATCAGAGGTGGACACGTAGTCTAGTTGGAGTCCTCTTAGCAGCTGCCCTAGCCCTACACTCCAAAGCATAGAGTTAAAAGATATTCTATTGTTTTGTCACAAACATGAGTTTTAAGATCCTGACTAGACTTCACCCTCCAAAGAGGGTGTTTCCCCTCCCCTCCCTTCCCACCCTCCAAAGACCCAGTTTCTCTGAAGAACTTCAATCAGATCCTTAAAACGAGCAAGCCGTTTGAACTTGCTCCTACTTGTCAGCTGCTTTATTTATATGTGAAAAGAGTTCCAGATCTGTATGAGCATTTCCCAGCTTTTCACACAGAAGGGGGCATTTCCTAGAATGTATCAAAAGCTTTTACCAAAGCAAATGCTCATTTTCTTTTGCAAAGCTCATATTGCTTCAGCCACATCTTGCATGGCATAGCAATGCTCATGTCTTTTAAGACAGACATATTTGTTATATACTTAGTGTTGGAGAGAAAAAGAGGCCTTCCTTAGTACAGGAAGGACATGGACCTGCTGGAATGGGTCCAGAGGAGGGCCACAAAGATGATCAGAGGACTGGAGCACCTCTTCTACAAAGACAGGCTGAGAGAGTTGGGGTTGTTCAGCTTGGAGAAGAGAAGGCTCCAGGGAGACCTTAGAGCAGCCCTCCAATACCTAAAGGGGGCCTACAGGAGAGATGGGGAGGAACTCAAAGGTCTCTTCCAGCCATGAAGATTCTGTGATACTCTGTGACACTTCATGAGGGAGTGGAGCGACAGGATGAAGGGTAATGGTTTTAAACTGAAAGAGGGGAGATTTAGATAAGATGTTGGGAAGAATTTTTTCCCTTTGAGGGTGGTGAGACACTGGAACAGGTTGTCCAGAGAAGTTATTGATGTCCCATGCCTGGAAGTGTTCAAGGCCAGGCTGGATGGGGCTTTGAGCAACCTGCTCTAGTGGGAGGTGTCCCTGCCCATGGCGGGGGCTTGGAACTCTGTGATCTTTAAGGTTCCTTCCAACCCAAACCATTCTGTGATTCTGTGATACCAGGTGTGGCTTCACCCCTTTTATTCATGTCCGTGCGGCAGGCAGGAGGAGAGGAACCTGAGACCTCCCACGCTGGGGAACTGCTATTGTAAAAATACTCCAACAGTACTGGGGGAAGAGTACCAGCAGGGTGAATGAATAAGGACATCTTGAAGAAAACCAATTGTTTGAGAACAGCTGTAAGTTTTCGGTATTACTGGTCTTACTCCCTTGCAGCACCTTGTTACCATCGTCTCTGGTGGTCCCACAGCACAGGTGGCAGAAGAAGTAGGAAAGATGCTCTCTAAATTACTTCAATGCATGGTCCTAGGCCAACTGAAACCACCACTGCTACTTTTGGTGGTTCCAGGTAAGCAGAGTAGAGGCTCCTCATTGATAGGAGTGTGCATGACCTGTGAGTGTGTGCTGACAGTGAGGAGAAGCAGTGACATCAGCTGCCACAGCTAGAAATTGTCACTGACTGTCTATCTGTTCTTGTCAGGAAGCTGAGCTTATCTTAACTTTTAAAGGTTTTTATTTTATTAGTTTCTTCAGCATTTGAGAAATATTAAAATAAGGAGAAAAAACTCGCTTTTCTCAAGCCCGTATCTAACTGGACCAACACTCTGAGGATTATTAGAGTAAAACTGGTATTTGGATGTAAAGTTATATGTTTGAGAATGTTGATGTGATTTGTAAAAAAAGTCTAAATTCGAAAATAACAGAGTTGCTAACAGAAAATGAGGATGGAGAAAGATTTTTTGATTTAGATCTTCACTTTGTTTCCACTTAGAAGAGAATAGATATCTGCATTATGTGATGCTGTAATATGTATTTGAGTTATATTTTACAGACAAATATAAAAAAAGACTTTCTGACTTGAAGTTTTTATAATCACAGGTAGATGAAACGCATGTCAAAATAAAAAAGCAGACAATAGCAGAATAAAATGAGCTTGTACTGGTGTGATGTTAATGACAGAGATATTTTATACCTTCTAGGTATTCATGAGTGGTCTATCTGTGGTTTTATCAGGTTATCATTTGCTTACTCCAATAGGAACAAATTCTTAAAATAATATTTTAAAATAGTTTATTTAAAAAAGAACAGAACTGCTATAGCATACAGAATTAAGTAGAACTTCTGTTAAAAATGATTTTTCTTACTCTGTTTTTCTGTAGTTGCATAGTGTCTTTTGTAATTAGAAGCTCAATTTTGACAATTTAAGTGATATGAAATAGAGGGGGTTTTGCATTTTCCTTCCCATGAGAAAGTAATCGTTAATTTAATGTTTCTGTGCTGCTATTCAGATATGACCCTTCCATGTTTGCAGGTAGGCAGAGGTCAACATGTGAGGAAGGAAGGAACTGCAAAGGTAACAAGTGCAACTATGTTTGTTTGACTTCGGCTGCAGCCTCAATGCCAGAGAGATAAGGCTGCAATAAATAACATTTATTCTGACATCTGGCATAGCTTTTACCAGTAATTATCAGGCACTCTTTAATTTTCCTTTTCCATCACAACCTCATGGTGCAATTACCGAGTGCTGTTGGCAGGTGAAGGCATATTAATAAGGTAGAAGACAAAAGAAGAGACACGGGGGCCAGGAATAAAAGTAGGGAAGGAAACTGACACATGACGGAAGGGCACGACAGCAGGAACCCAGGGCTTGCATCCTGGATACTCAACTGGTGTTGAGCCGATTCCAGCAGGATGTGTTTAAGCCATTTGGTCTCTTTGCTGGCCTGATTTCTTTGTGCCCAAAGGGATCCCAGATACACCGTGTGAAGGCACAATGGGAAAGATGGTGCTTCCCCAGCCAATCTGCTGTCCTCATTTATTGATCTCCCGCGTAGGAAGAGGTGGCCATCTCACACCATCAGAATTACCCGTTAAATTACTTTTTGGTGACTTCAGCTGTGAACACTTATTCCTGCTTCTTAACTGTTTATCTTGTCTCCATGTCTGACTTCAGCAGAAGTTCTGAAGAACCCTGTATCGCTGCTTTTTAAACTGACACAGTGTAGTTTTCATATTAAAGTCTCTTGCTTCAACTTATTTTTTTGTGTTTATAAATAATTTATATACAACAAAAGTAGAGACTCTTTACAATACACGCCATAAAGATAAGTCCTCCTTTAGGAAAAGGAATAAAGAGATTAATACACCTTGCAAAGATGGATGATTTGACATGTGAGAGACACATACATAGCATTGTTGCTGAGAACCTAAGAGTTGGTTAACTTTTCATCCCTTACATTTGACAATGTCATCTATGTGAATTGTCCAGTAAGACCTTCATGCTCCATATACTACAAAATGCAGTTTCACCTCCAGAGAGCTATAAACGAAGCACCTATAATAGTCAAACATGCACAGAAATTGTCCATTTTATCTCCGAGTTGGATTCCTTTGCTTGTGTGACTTGGCTAACAAACCACTGCTGTAATTGGAGCTCAGGTAGTGGTCTTGCAATTTTCAGATGTTCTGGTTGTGGTCAGTTTGAACTGTAAGCTATTTTTGGTTAGTCCTTTCTTAGACACCCAGTTAAAGTGTAAATTGAGTCTTTGCTTGAGTTGTTGACATCCAGGCATACGTATCTGTGGTATGGAACTGGAACATTCACAGTGGTGCATATTTCCTGGAAAAAATAATGAGATCAGTCAAAATGATACAGCTAGGAAATTATAATGCTGATATTTCCTGCTGCCCTGTGACAACTCTTTTTCAGTCCAACGTCACTCCTTGATTTCCTGACATCCTGAGAAACAGAATCTTACTTAAGCTGCTGGACAGGGAGCATTAAGAGTTTTTTTACTGCGGACCCTGGACTTTTAAGGTTGCTTCACTGCAGGATGCTACAGCCTTTATTTTTCAGGTAGCTTTCCATTGGAAGATTTTGCAAGTACCATCATTTGTGTTTCTCCTACGTCACGTGAGCTTTCTTCATGATGTGACCTGACAGCGCTTGAAATCGATGCACTCACTTGGCGTCTCAGTATTTTCATTACAGTTCTCTTGTATCCTTTGCACGCAAAGAAATAGATGAAGGGGTCTAGGCAGCAGTTAAAATTCATCAGAAACACAGTATAGTGGAGCGACTTCTGGAAAATTTTAGTTTCAGTGCATGAGGGTTCATTCTGAAGCTTCTTAATCATGTGTTGTATAATTGCAACATGATAAGGGGTAAAGCAGATGATGAAGACTATAATTACAAATATGATTGTATTGATGGCTTTTCTGTTTATCCCTGATTTTTCAGTCAGTGGATTTTCCTTAGCCGTTTGAAAAAGTTTGCAGCTAATTTGAGAGTAACAAAACAGTATAATCCCCAGGGGAATAAGGTACCCTACTAAACAGGCAGCAAGAAGTATAAATGGTAGATGTGCTATTTTTTCAAAGTTCGGATACTCCATGCACGTAGTCCGTCCTTTCTCTTCCTGTGACATGGGCTGTATGAGTAAGGGGAAAGTTTGACTAAATACAAGAAACCAGATGAAGACGCAAATGCCCTTGGCGTATTTAATCCTTCTGATCTTGTATCGGAAGGGGTGGACGACGGCGAAGAACCTGTCGATGCTCAAGCACGTCATGAAGTTGACACCCGCGTAGGTGTTGATGTAGAACAAGAGGGCGGTTATCCGACACAAGGCTTCTCCAAAGGGCCAGTGAAATCCCAGGGCGTAGTAGGCTATCCTGGTAGGCAAGGCGATGCAGAACAGGAGGTCGGAGAAGACGAGATTCGTTGAGTAGAGGGTGGTGGAGTTGATCTTCTTTCTGTTTTTAAAGATGACGGTGAGGGCAATGGTGTTTCCCAGCACCCCAAGAATTAAGATGGAGCTGTAGAAGACAGACAGTAGTATCCGCGCTGTGTCTTTGTGCTCGTATAAGTCACAGGTGGAGCTGTTTGTCTCAGAAGCTGTGAAAGTGTCCATTTCTGTAAGCACTGTTGTTGCAGGAAGCTCAGTAGCCCTAATATGGAAAAAAAAAGAACATTTTGTAATAAGCGTAGATAACATTTTCTGCATAACATCAGCCAAGCGCTGTTGCAAAAAACAAGTTTGTAAAAATACTGAAATGAAACTTCATTATGGTGAAATGCTTTTCAAGGCTCCTTCTGAAAACAAACAAACAAAAATATGGCTCTTTGTAGCTTTTTTTTACTTTGATCCCAATTCCTTCTCTCCTGAAAAAAATTACACAGGGAGCAAAATAATAAACTGAGGATCTAACGTGTTTGGAAAGTGAAGTTTATAGATGGTCAGGAGATGGGAGACTGTTTAAAGCAACATGAGAGGAAAAAGACGTCTGAAGAAACCACATGATCAAGGATCATACGAAGTCCCCAAGGGTCAAACAAGCAGACAAAATCTTTTAAATGTGTTTCGGTTAATTTTTAGGGATTTTTTGTTTCTAACAATTCACTTTGTGATGATATAACTTATTTAGAGAAAGTAATTTTTTTCAGCATTCTTATCGTATTGACATAATAATAATTCAGCTTGTTTAATACTGGTTTTTAGAATTGGCTTTTGACACCTAATTCAAATATTGTTACATTTGTAAGACTTTAGTCTTAAGAGGGATAACCCAGCTGAAATATTTTACATGTTGTCAGTTCAGTAGATTTTAGAAATTGTTTAGCCTGCACAGTTAGAAGTAGCATGGAAGGAGCTGCAAAGTGGCAATGATTTGGGAAACTTAAACATATAAAAAATGATCCAGGAGAACTTCAGAAATGGAAAAGACCTCATCCAGTTGATACTGTTTCCAGTGCAAAGCATTTCTTTGGTGTGTTGTTACCTGCCAGTTGGATAGTGTAAGTGTCAGAAGGGATGGGGCATCTGACGTTACTCCTTGAGCAGCTGTTCTGGATTAAAACAGCAGTCAAACCAAGATTGCTTCTGCTTTAATGCAAAATACTATCTGGAGAGAAAAGCTGTTTTAACCTGAGTTTTAAGTCCATCTGGTACCAGTTATTAAAATGTCTAAGCTACTTTTGAGGATCTGCCTTTCAACACAACATTTACAAAAAACTGTAGCCTGTTTTACATTTTAAAAGTCTTTCTGGAAAATAACCTCTCAGTTTTAAGGGTTTTAAGACATTTTAGAAAGTATTCATTATCCTTTTATTAACTTGTGAAAACAGTAAGAGGTTAGTCTCTTCTTCCATGTTTTGAGGAGATTGTCCTATAGTTTTTTTTCAATTTGTTCACAATTAGTGTACCTACAACACATACTGTATTTTAAGCCAGTCTTATCAGACTTCTGGCTCGGTTACCAGGGGTGCACAAGGTTCTCTGTAAACAGTAATCCTGCGGATAGTGCATGATGTGTGTTAAAATACATAAATTAGTTATATTACATATGTTTAAGGAAGAAATTTAGCGTACAGATGGTATATTAAGTCTGTATTTGTTGTGTTGCACAGACAGTAGGAAAGACAGGTGACTGATAGACGTACAATGTTCTGATTCTTTGACACCCATGAAGTATGTACCCTGTGTCAAGAGGTGGGAATACTACCTTCAGGGTTGGATGTCAAGTCTGAAGTGGGACTTCTGTGGCTTGAATAAGAGAATTAAACTGGTAAATAGCAACTCCAGCTGTAGTGCAGATTTAAGAATGTCTGGGATTTTATATTAGTTAATTCCACATCATTAATGGTATCTTGGTGTAGGTGTGTTTGATGATTGATTAATACAGTAATTACTACCCTGAGGATAGTTCTGCTATACTTTCCTCCTGTTTTGTCCTTTCTCTTATAGAAGCATCTAGGATGGCTCTTGTTTTATGCAAGTGTAACAGACTGCTTTTTGCAGAAAATGGCGTGGGTTTGTGTAGGCACATGGATAAGAATCAGTGAGGTATTTTGTTTTGTTTCTAATCTAACATTTATGATAAACAGCTCTACTGCAGTAACTAGCTACAGCATATTAGCTGCCTAATTTTATTTTCAGTATAAAGTTGTAATAGTTTTGGTTTGCAAATAATGTGCGTAGTTGTCATGTCCATTCGTTTGTCTTCCTATAAATGTTTGCAAAGTATAGAGTATCTATTATACAACCACGTTTTAACTATGGTTTAGGAAAAATTCTGTCATTTCAGTGATTTATTTTTTTTTAAAAGATCAAGAGTAGAATTTCATAAAACTCACGTTAACTAATTTTGTGCTATGAAGTAGGATCTTTAATGTAACAAATGCATCTACAACTAGTTGTTGCTCAAACTAGGATGCTCACCCTGGTGTTACCAAAGGCAGACTTCTGCTTTGTTTCTAACCACATGCTAACTAAAATGAGTTAATTACTGAGCTTCTTACTGTGTGAGAAAATAGTTGGTCACCAAGCTGATAGTGATAAGGATGGGATAACAAGATGTCGTTCATCACTTCAAGGTTCTCTCATATATCAAAATATGTACCCCTGTACCAATTAGGACAGAGCAGTGGCTGCTTCAAGGAACATCCTTTTCATTCTCAAGAAGCTGGCAAACGTACTGTAAACTTTTACTGTCCTGACATGACTCAACACGTTAAAAGGATAATGTGAGGAAAGGTACAAACTTTTACTGTCCTGAGATGACTCAATACGTTAAAAGGATAATGTGAGGAAAGGTATCTGTACCCAAGCAACCATAGAGGAACTCACGCCTGTGCAGAAGTGTTTTGCAGACACTGCAAAATTTAATATGCGTGTGCAAAAGGACTGTTGGGTCATCCTAATGAATATGTAAGCCTAGGTGGAGTTATATATTAGGTAGGTGGAATAATGAGAATCTTTTGTGTATAAATAATGGGTGAATGTCCCCGCTAAGGTGTGCTAGATTTGTGGATTTCCACCCAGCACCTGATGTCGAATAAAGTAACATTTCTCGAAACTGCTTCTGGTTTTGAGAGCTTTTGTTTCAGGTGACACTCGCATAAAACCATGGCTATATTGAGCAGGAGGTTCTAGCTGTCTATGCATGGTGCTAGCATGGATATACATGGGGAGGAGTTCCATGGCAGGACAAACTTGCCACAAACAGATGAGAAAAAAATTGGAGGACCACAGCTCATGAGCCTTCCAGGGCAGTGTGTATTTAAGCTAAGCTGTGCTCCTTGACAGAGGATGTCAGCAGGCTCTTCTGCTGGCTGTGGGAGTTAGCCCTGAGTGGGAAAAATGTTCTTTCTGATCCTCTGTTATCCCCCAAACATTTTGACAGTGAACACAGGGAGTGTGTTTTATAATACTCTAGATGTGTTATCCCCCAAACATTTTGACAGTGAACATAGGGAGTACATTTTATAATACTCTAGATGAGTATTAGTATTTTCTCTGCATGTAGGTATGTATGGGCATTTTTGAGTGGTCACCATAGTGTCTAGGTGCTAGATTACCTCAGTATATTTAATTATTTAAAAGAAAACCCTCATGATACTGTATCTGGTTTGGGGCCCAAACACATGATAAAGTTGCTACCATCTGACAGCTTAACAAAACACATGATAAAGTTGCTACCATCTGACAACGCGCATCACCTAAGCTATGGTACCTTCTGAGCTCTTACTGTTGTTGGATGAACTACATTCACCTCAGCAGGTATTTCACTTTTTCCGCTCAATGTTGAACAGGGCTACATTTTAAAAAATACTTTATTCTTAACAGGTGTCTAGCCTATTAAGTAAAACAAAGTAAAACAAGCCTTTTTTTTTTTTAACCCTATTCCTTGTGTCAGGTAGCTGTTTATTTCATGGAACCAGTCCTTAGTGATCAGCTTATATTTTCAGAGCATGTGCCAACCTCTACAGCATGTAGCTGAAAAAACAAGAGCAGGCCCGTTTTTGTGTACTTTTCCCATGTTCTGCATTCTTGGGGCAAAACCAGAGAATGTTACCTCCTTACTGCTGCAAACCTCAAACTAGCTGGACTTGATTCTTACTGATTTTAACGAGCTGTGTGACTGAATATGGTAATTTAATAAGGCCATTTAATGTCATGAATCCAAATGCACTAATGAAGCTATCCTTTAGAATCAGTACCAGAATATTTGCTCTTCTAGGTTGTTGGATTGAGTACCCCTCCCCAGTGGCTTTCTGAGTTTGACAAAGTAAAACAAGCCTTTTTTTTTTTTTTTTAACCCTGTTCCTTGTGTCAGGTAGCTGTTTATTTCATGGAACCAGTCCTTAGTGATCAGCTTATATTTTCAGAGCATGTGCCAACCTCTACAGCATGTAGCTGAAAAAACAAGAGCAGGCCCGTTTTTGTGTACTTTTCCCATGTTCTGCATTCTTGGGGCAAAACCAGAGAATGTTACCTCCTTACTGCTGCAAACCTCAAACTAGCTGGACTTGATTCTTACTGATTTTAACGAGCTGTGTGACTGAATATGGTAATTTAATAAGGCCATTTAATGTCATGAATCCAAATGCACTAATGAAGCTATCCTTTAGAATCAGTACCAGAATATTTGCTCTTCTAGGTTGTTGGATTGAGTACCCCTCCCCAGTGGCTTTCTGAGTTTATTAACAGTATTTTGAAGTATATCTTTGGAAAAAAAAAAAAACCAACTTCATCAATTGAATAATTTTAGAAAACATTGCCACAATTTTTTGGTACATGCAAAATTTTAAGGCTTAAAGTATTTAAAATTCCTGTCTTTATATTTGTATTGTAAAGAAAGTTCGACAGGTTTTTACTTTTGCCTGGGTTTGCAAACTCACAGCGCTCAAGAACACAGACCTATGAAGTTGTAGTGCAAAGAGACCACTTACTCATTTAATGTGGCCACCTGTAAAATGCGGGTGATGTCATTATTTTTAGTTATCTGTGTATAAATTCCACTAACTTTTCATTTAAAGCGTATTTTCCAAAATGATGTTTTCATCTTGATTTGGAGAGCTTAAGAGAAAGCGAATTAGCTATTTGTACTGTATTTATTGGTCAGTCACCCCCCCTGTTAAAAAATGTGGGTGTCTCTTATTTAAATTTCTCTAAAATTAATCTGCAGTTTTTGTTGAGCCTTTCCTCTTTATACAATCCCATGGTTTTGACAACTGAATGTGAACTTCTCAAATGTGTCACCACAAGGCAAAATAGTCCCGTGACGTCTGTTCTAACCCCAGCTTAGTCCCACACAGGAGATGGGTTTCCAGATGCCTTTTGGTATCAGTGTACGCAGAAGCATACTCACCACTCATCCCTGCTTTTTCTGCTCTGTTGATTAGGTATTCAAGGTCATAGAATCATAGATCAGTTTGGGTTGAAAAGGACCTTAAAGATCATTGAGTTCCAAGCCCCTGCTGTGGCCAGGGACACCTCCCACCAGACGAGGTTGCTCAAAGCCTCATCCAGCCTGGCCTTGAACACCTCCAAGGATGGGGCATCCACAACTTCTCTGGGCAACCTGTTCCAGTGTCTCACCACCCTCACAGTAAAGAATTTCTTCCTAACATCTAATCTAAATCTCCCCTCTTTTAATTTAAAGCCATTACCCCTCATCCTATCACTCCACTCCCTGATAAAGAGTCCCTCGCATCTCTCCTGTAGGCCCTCTTCAGGTATTGGAAAGCTGCTGTAAGGTCTCCCCAGAGCCTTCTCTTCTCCAGGCTGAAGAACCCCAGCTCTCTCAGCCTGTCTCCATAGGAGAGGTGCTCCAGCCCTCTGATCATCTTTCTGGCTCTCCTCTGGACCCTCTTCAACAGGTCCATGTCCTTCCAGTGCTTGAGGACTCCAAAGCTGGACGCAGTACTCCAGTTGTGTAGCATTGCTCCGGGAGTTTGTGATGTTAGTTCATCGTGATCCCGCAGTACTTTTCAGATTCACTGTGGCCTAGGGTATCTCCAGTCTAGGGGCATGGCCAATGCTCTCTGCTTCTCCTTGGGTGGACCTTACACCTGGGAGTGTTTAAAATTAGTTTTACTATTATGCCCAGGCTTCCAGCCAGTGTACAGTGTAGGTTGTTCTCTCTCACTTGTTATTTCAAATCTTAGCATTGTATTTGCTTTCTGACCAGCAGTGGAAAAAAGGTTTTCTTTCACCAGTTACTTTATAAGATTTGTTAGTTAGCCAGCTTTTAATCTGTTCTGTGTGCTTTCTTGACGTTTGATAGCAATAGTGTCCACTGTATAGGAAGATTGCTTTGAGAGACTGTTTTTCTGTGAAAATGTTTGGCATTATTCATTTGTTTTACATTTATACTGCAATATGCAAGAACTCGGCTCAGAGTAGAGTCCCGCAGCAAAAGGTGTTTGATGAACAGAATGGTGGCTCCAGTCTGGAAGTACTACATAATCCAAAGCCCTGGTTCGTAGACATGTTCACGAATCATGAGCTTTATATATAGTATCATAATGTTGCATACATTTAACTATTAACAAGCATAGACTTAGCTATGAGCCAGCAGTTGCAGTATTGCAAGTTCAGATGACAAGGGTTTGGATTATTGGCAAGCAGTGATACAAAGCCCCCTGTATGCTAAATGAAGTTTTTTTCTTGTTCTCATCTCCTCCTGCTTTTGCTGAAGGAGCACCATCTGTCTTTTCAGCAGAACAGGGAACATGTAAAAGGCTTTAACTGTGTATTGTAGTCAAATGTGTGATTTGTCTGTCTCTCTTCATAATTTTTATTCTTTGGAGATGAATACCTGGTCCATCTGCTTGGTAGCTAATTGAAGAGGGATACCAATTAAATTCTTGGGGTGGCACAGCAGATCATTACGAAGATCTCTACTGGCTCTATGCATAGTATGGTTTAGTCACTTTGAGATGGAGGAACAATATTTCTTTAACACACAGTATCAGGCAATAATGTTCATGTAACCATAGAGTATAAATGAGTTAAAAGGATTAGTCAGGAAAGAGACTTCTCTTTCCCTTCAACTCCTGACCTGAGGATTTACTGAGTTTGCAGTCCTCTACAGGTGTAAGCTGTGCAGGTCTTCTAGAATTTAAAACCAGTAGAAGATGGGAAATACGCAGTGCTCTCAGTTTGTAGGCTTTTTTTTTTCCCTTAATCTCTAAAATTAATTGTTTTCTTTTGACCTTGACCAGTCATATTTACTGTTTGAATTTCTAATTTACCATACAAGTGATTTTCATTGTAGAGTGTTTTCTCTGAGGAAAAAGGCTCAATTCAATTAAGTTATATTTATTTAAAAGTGTGCATGCTAATAGAATGCTTTGTTAATATAGAAAGAACATATACCTAAGGTACATATATCTAGGTGTATGTATGGGCAGCTTGGGAACTGTGGTTTAATAAAAGCTGAGGCAAGACACAGGCATGTCCTAAAGCTTCCTGTTTCTTTCTAATACTTTAACACTCACACGCTTCTAGTGCACTATGTAAAGTTACCTTTTTTCAAAAGCTGTTGAGTTTTGTGTCCTAAATGTCCATGAGTAGCCCTAATGACCTGAAGACTGAATCCTCAGGTCGCAACCCACAGCTGATTTTGGTGAGATAGTTTCCAGGCTAGTGCTTCCTTGGTATAGACCATAGTTGTTGGGGTGGTAAAGCCAAATTTGTAAGCCACGCATCAGAGAATCCCAAGTATGCATTTCATCAATGAAATGGTCTTAATGATGGCTATGAAGAATTATAATATTCTTTAAGTGCGTAACAGAATTTGCAGATGCACACACTGTGGTGTGTTTATGGTCCTGGTTGTCTCTTTTACTATAGATTTTGCAAAGTTGTAAGACAGTTATATTTGGTGCTCAAAAATAATAGAAGCTACAGTAAGCGAAATGGAAATAAAGAAGTTGAGTTGCAATGCTGCATAAGTAGCTAAAGAAAAAGTGGAAGTTATTTGAAGTGTGGATTCTAGCTCTTATCTGTTGATTCTCTCTTATCTCTTGATTCTCTCAAATGTGATCAAATGTTCTCTGTATGAGAACTGTCAAACAGAAATAATCTCTGCCAAAAATGGATGTTAGTGTGAAGAGCTGTGCTGATGCTGAGAGGATTAACCTTCCTTCAGTTTACTTGCCTAAGTGTACTAAATGTAAAAAGGAGAGCGCCTAAAATATAGCAAATAAACAAAATAAAAGCCTAAGCCACTTACAGTTACATTGCTGCAAGTAGAAGAACAGCTTGTATTTTAGTACTAGAAAACATACACACATCTCATTTGATTTTTTTTCTTTCTGAGTGATATGGAACCTGTACAGGTGCAGTCTTTAATTTTAGGAATTACAACTTCAGAACTCTAGCTTAAATTTATTGTTCATTATTCATTATATGTATACATAGTCCTCAATCTTTTGAAAGGATTGAGATTCCCAATCTCAGATTGGGATCTCAAATCTCAGTCTTCCCGAACAGAAAGGAATGAGATTTTAGCTCTTAAAGACTAATTGCCAAATAAGTTTTCAGTTCCCTTGTCTCTGCAGGAGGAGCCATTGAAATGTTAGACAGAAACTTGCATTCTGTGCTCAAAGGCATGCGTGCCCTCTCTGGTTTTTAAGATAAGTGATAGTCAAGTTATTGTCTGTCGAACAGTTGTATCTTGATTTGCCAGTATATTAGGAAAAGTGGATCCCTTTTAATAGAGAAGACGTATAAAAATCCTCTCACTTATAATATTTCTTTAGGTTTGTGGTATAAAGATCAGTAATAAGGAGAAAGATGTTTGGTGGCTGCGATTCAGAAAAATAATTCCTTCTAAAAACTTGGAAACAAACGCGTGTCAGAAGGTAGAAGAGGAATTAACTCATAAAACTTTGAATTCTTAAAACATTCTGTCGCAATATTTAGATGTGGGAAGAGTGACTGAGGATTTCTTGTGCTTATAATAAAGGCTGTTTCATAGACAAGGAGCGCATGTGACAGAGCAAACTGCATTCACATTCATAGTACAGATTTCTTTTCTCTCTCCTGCTGTTGAAGCATTCTGTGAGGTTCAGTGAATGACTGAAGAGCTGCAGTGCTTCCCTTACTGCTTGTGCATTAGTTATTTCTACATTAGTATAACTTAGACAATGTTTTCAGCAATAGCAATTTAAGCTAAGGCAATTATCAAACGTTTCCCTGTGCTTGTCGAAAAGCTGTATTACAAGAAAGGATTTGAAATAACTTGTTGATGCTGTGGGTCAACAGATGCTTTAAATAAAAATTAACTGGCAGCATATTAATATGTGAATGTAAAACATCACACAGTTTCTTCCACGAGCCTTGTCTTTTCCATTCAAAGATGACTTATCCTTCCCAGCACATGAAAATATTCTGTATAATGCAAACAAGAAATAATCTTTCTAGAATTGTTTGCTGTTGTGCAGTGAAAAGAAAAGAAAAAAGTAATTACAAAAGTGAATTCTTTTCTGTACTTACATATCTGTAGCTTCTTGGATCCTCTGAGCAGTTAGGGGCATTAGCAGGATGGCTTGACTGCGAAAGTTTACCCTCGCACATTGTTTTCAAGAGTGATTACGTGAGTCTCTTGTGGGAGGGGTAGGTTTTTTTTCGAGTGCTTAAAAAAAAAAAAACAAAAAACCACCTTGTTTGTATGCTGGTCTTGATTTGCTGCCTACTGTTTTATGGGATGTGAAAGCATCTATTTTTAATCCTTTTACAATTAGTCTGCACCAAGAGAGTAATTAGAACCACCCCTCCCGCTCGCCGCCTTCCCCCTCGCCCCCCTGCTTCGCCTCGAAGTTACGCATTGCTGACTTTCATAGAAGGGACTTTACCCAGAGGTTCACTTGACTAATCGTTGACCAGCTAAAATCCCTGAGCGAAAAACTTTGTTTATATGCCATTTAAAAACAGCTTAAATTTAGTTTGTACCCAAGAGCTGTATGATAACTGCGTTGCTTTAAAACTGCTTCTTGGTGATCGGATCTGCCACGGCGCAAGAAAACCTCAGAACTGAGATATACGGAGATGCTGTGTAAAAACAGGCAACTTGGCAGCCCGGGTACATTCCCAGCGCTGTTTTAGTATCGTAATGATGAGGCTTTACAGAAATGGCCTTTGAAAATATATGAGGGAGTTGAAGAACTCTGGTGGCTTGAGAGATTAATGAGGGTGCGTGCCTTTGTAAGCTGTTCATTGCATTTTGAGCAAGGGTAATAATAATATTAATAATAATGATGATACAACACATGTAAAATAAGAGCATTAAAGATAAAAAGCTTTTAAAATAAAAATCTAATTCCCCTAAAATGATATTGATAAGAATGGGGGCCTAGGGATTAGGAAAGGAATGGGATGTCAACTTGTGAGGTAACTCATTGTTACCTGGAATAAACTTGTTTCTGGGTAAAGAACATTGATGTAAGAGTTAAATTGCGTGTTTGTTAAGAGGAGATCAGAGATAGATGGAAAATCCTGTCGTTTGCTGTTAGAGGCTGTGGCTGAGAGTTACCTGGGATTTTCCCCAAAAGCTCATAATGATCACTCATGACTGCAAAGGGCTATTTATCTTTACAGCGGCCTCATTTGGTGGCCTGATTTTAAAGAACTAGCAAGTAGGCACGATGATGCTATTTTTGGTGGGTTCAGCCCATGCAGAGGGTGGAATGCCTCATTGAAAATGCCTCTTAGGGCTGTGTTCACGGCATAAGCTGACGTTTGCAGGCGGTTGCAGTTGTGGAGGTGTGCAGAGATACAATCTCAGCTAACGCGTCCATCGCATCAGAGAGCCTAAAGTAAATGCATATCTAACGACAAAGATAAACTTTACTAAATGTACCTTGTCTTATGGGAAATGATTTTGCCATAGCAGAATGAAGCAGAGCCTTGTGAGCTACTTTTTGTGCCAACTTGGAGCATTTTCTTGGTGCTATAGGCTGATTTTTGTGGTGCTGGACTCCCAGTACACACATGGCTGGGTTCCCCTTAGATGCCAGGGAGCTGAAGGGCCCAGTCCCTCAGTTTTTGTGGGGCTTTGATCTTCTAAACACCAGATTCAGAAAGTCTTTGAGAGAACTTACAGGTCTTACTCTGTTTTTTTTTTTTCCTTTCTCGTTTTTGAATTATTTTTTAGTTACTCGGCTTCGTCACAGGGCAGAATCTCTTTATGTGAAGTAACGAGAATTAAAAACTGTTTAAAGGGAAATTGCAGAGGGAACTTGCTTCATACGCACACAAAGTCATATCGCAACGCGGTTCCCTGTCCAGCAGCAAAAAATATGTAGTAGAAATGGGAAATTTTGAGATACACAGGCATGTGGTAGTCTTCGCTCAAGGGTTGACAGTAGTACCACAGCTTCATATGAAAGGAAATGCTTATTTCAAAATAGTCCTACCACTGTAAAATAATGCCAATATGCGTTACCTGCTCTGATCTGATAAAATACTGCCTTCCTTTGGTTAAGATACATTACTAGATTGTACCCTTTGAGTAACACTGATGTATTTAGCTACTAATTCAGCCTAGCATGATGTGAAGTTAATTACCTGAGCTAAATTATACTATTTATCCTTCTAGCGATTTGTTTTCTCTTCTTAAACAGCTGCTGTTTCTCCAATATCTCCTTGACTGCCCTAGGATTTGAGCATTTAAACCAAGGAAGGGCGTGTATCGAAAAGTGTGATATATGTTTTGTTTTACAATTGGTGCACAAAAAGCTTACTGTTTTGCTTTTGGCATGCAGGGAGAGTAACATGTAAATTAATAGAACAACTTGTTACTTTCGGAGGTGGTGACATCAAAGCACTGCAGTTAATATTTTGACCGCTATACGTTATGGTGCCTGTGATGATTTATTTTGTCTGCTTACTTAGTCCCTACTCCACTTGAGCAGTTGGCAAATAGTACTGGGTTTAGCTTTACAATTCCATATCTAGAGAGCTACTCCCCAAGGTACAAAATGACTCCTGACTTCCACAGGGTGTTCATGAATCAGCCAGAAAATGGATGCAGACAGACTGTTTCTTAACTGCAAAATTGCCTTTCCTTCCAAAACTAACTGCTTTTGTTTTCTGGGAGACGGGTCAGGTATCTGGAACTAACCTGTAGCTGAATCCTGTCTGGGTTTTGTGGACAAACGATTTCTCACGTGACTTGAGATAGAGGAGCAGTAAATGATGAATCACCAGTGAGTCATGGTAACTCTGCAGAGGCCAAATAAAATACGTTAGGCTAATCTAGATGATAAAAAGAAATTAGACACTGAGATTTAGATGAATTTGGGACCCTAAAAATTTCAGTACAGCTGTTGAACTGTACCTCCTCTACAAAATACTCTGCCATCTAAATCTCTTCAAGGTTTCCTTGTGCCTTCATACGTGTTCTGCCTGCCTCCAGTGTCAGTGCCAGATTTAGCCAAGCCTGGGGTTCACTGGGAGCCTCTGCCTTTTAGAAAGGTGCAAGCTCCTCTCCCTTGCTGAGCTCCAACTCTGGTTTGGTTAATACGATCAGCCAGGAAAGCAAAGCCACCTGGTGAACTGTCACCATCGATCACTTACTGCAGACATCTGATGCAGAGCAGCAACTGGCTGTAGGTAAGCAGGGGCAACTAACTCCGTAACACCTAGTTGGCGTTAATAACTTATCAGTTAAGGATAAATAGTTGTCCCTGGGTTACTCTGCTCAATTGTGGCACAAGAGTTTGGCCAGCCATTCCTGTACCGCTCCCTTGGTTTCATCCGTATCTCCATGCTTGGCCTTCACATGAATGGCAGCACGCTAATCATATAATAAATAAAGGACAGGGGTCTTAATTTAAAGAAAATGTATCTATTTTCATAGTGCTATAAGCTGAATAGTTCTTTGATAGTCTGCAGTGATTCCTAGTCTGAGGGCACTTGTATTGTGAATGCCTAACTGAAGAAATTTTATGTTTTGCAGCAGGCTGGTAAAACTGCAATGGTCGTGTACTGTAAGTCAGCTTTGCACAACAAAGGTTTGGGGGAGATAGGATTAACTGATCTTTTTGGAAAAAGCTAAAGAATAATGATTATATATGCTAGCATCTTATTAACGATGACTAAATTCAAACTGAAATTGGAAGAAAGATTCTAGCCAGCAGAAAAGGAAAGTTCTGGAGTAGCTCGTCAATGGGAAGGGAAAGGAGCTTGAAGCAGTTTATGGAATAAATTGTTGGATGGTCTTAGCATTAAAAACTCAAGCTTTTTTTAGAAGTTTTAGGTGTCTGACTTCTGTCTGCATGAGGGGATTATGTTTGGTTGGTTGGTCGCTCTCATATTTTAATGAAATCAAAGTTGCAGTGATTTACTGAGATATCCATGGACAGGAAGAACCTTTCTTTTCCCCTCAAGATGCACAACTACAAGTTTTGTCTTGGGGCTTTTTTCTGGCTTATTTCCTGCATTCCTGTGAAATATTGACTCTTAGATACATGAGTGTTGGGTTAATAACCCCAGGCTTTTGCTGGTATTGAGTGGCAAACTGTTGGGGGCAATAGATGGTTCCTTTGACCTGAGGATCCCAGCTCTCCAGGCTGGTCATATTCCAGGGAGTTACCTAATTTTAAGGGATGTTATTGAGAATGTTTAACACTTTCAGAATAAAGGCTGGCACCTTAAGTGTAATACGGCAGTGTCTGGACAGCCTGTAGGAACGCAGAGCACTGAAGTAGCTTTGTAACTTTGAATTACAGGCACACTGTTTACATGCTCTGTATTATCTGCTGCTGCTTTTATAGCTGATATTTTTAGTCCCTAAAAAAAAAAAAAAAAAGCGGTTGTGAATTTGTCAGGTTAATGTTTTTCTGAAGAACTTAAATGAAGAAAAATACAGCACTGCAGTTAGTAAGTGTTGTGAGTCATTCTGAATAAAGTAAGAATGTTATTTCTGCAAGATTAATCCCACAGAACTTCCATTGACAACAGCAGATGTTTTTGCAGAAGTAACATTTAGCTTTCTACCCGTTTGTTAATACATTTTGAAACAGTTTTTTCTCTATTTTGTGCATATATTTACTAATGTTAAAATGTTTTATTTTAATCTGCATATAATATTTGCCCTTTAAACTTTAACTAGCAGGTTCCTCTTATGAGAAGTGCTTGCCCCTGATTCTTTCTTCTCTACCAGTAGCTTCTACACCTCTGGTTTGTTTTTTTCAAGCTTATTGTTTCTTCAAGTTTTTTTTTCTCTGTGCAAAACCAATCTCATCACTTCATACAATGTAAAATGTTTCCCTCTTGCCTGCTGTGTTTCTTTTTCACTGCAAATGTGGAAATTTAACATGCTGTCCAAAATGAGGATATAACTGTTAAAGAGCCTGCTATACAGTACCCCTTTGGAATAGGCATGCTGTCCATATGAAGTGTTCAAACTCTTTATTTTAATCTTTCGGGTTTTAGAGTTTTCTGTTTTGTTTGAAAATTTTATTTTCTAACCAACGTGGCTGAAATTAACTTCCTAAACATGAAGTGGGCATGAACTCTGTTTAGAGTCTGCATGCGTTTGTGTCTGTGGCCCTTCTTTGCACATAGACATCTCAAGTTTCTAATAGAAGTTAATCACAGCACTTGAAGGGATGTTCCTGATATTGTCATAGTATAATGAAGAAGGGGCCAGGACAGGGGAATAAAAGGGATGAGGGGAAAAGCAAAAATAAGAGGAAAAGAGGGAATTGTAGTAGTCCTCCAATAGAAGTATTTTTCCACTTGTAGATGTTGAATCTGACTGTACATTACCAAACAATTAATTAACATATTTAAAAGAGTTAAGAATGAGTCCTTTTATTTACGGTATATGGTTGGATGTTTGTACTTATCTAGTGAAATGCAGCAGCAGAAATCCCTCTAGTGATTATGAACTTTGGGAACAGGGCTTTGATTGACCACAAAATAATAGAGTAGCTTAGGTTTGACAGGACCTTTGGCAGTCATCTAGTTCAGCCTTGGTTCAAAGCATGTCCAGCAAGAGCAGCTTACTTAGAGCTGTGTGTCCAGGTTGTGTCTCTGACAATGAAGATTCTGGCTCTGGGCAACCTGGTACAGTACTGGACCATCATTACCCCAGACTGGACTTGCTCCAATATATCAATGCCTTTCTTGAAGCCAGGAGCCCAGAAATGGACACAATGATTCAGGTTCAGGCTCAAAAGTGCTGAGTGATCACTTCTCTTGACCTGGTGATTACACTCTTGATAATGCAGCCCTGTATGTGATTGGCATTTCCTGGGAGGGTGAACTGCTGATTAACATTCAGAGGGTTCTCTAGCTCCTTGCCTGCAAATCTGTTTTATAGCATTGCACAGGGTTATTCTGACCCACATGGAAGACTCCACAGTTGCTTTTCTTGAACTCTGTAAGGTTCCTGTCAGCCCGTTTCTCCAGCCCATCAAGGAATAGCTGAGTGCATCCCAGGTCTCCAAAGTATTGACCGCTCCCTCCAATTTGATGTCATTCACCAACTTGCTGAGGGTGCACTTTGCCCTGTCATCCAGGTTGTTAATAAAGACAAGAAGTAGTGTTGGCCCCAGTGTGGACCCCTGAGGGAAGCTACCAGTAACTGGCTGCTGCTTGGACTTCTGTATTATTGCTGGCCAGAACCCTGTGAGCCCTGGCAGTGCAGGCAGCTTCCCTCCAGTCTGCTGATCTAGCCAGTCCGAATCTCCTCGTATTTTCTCCAAGGACACAAGGGGAGATTGAACAACTTCTCTCTTGTCATTGAGTCAAAGGGCATCCTAAAGTCAGAGCATACAACATTTGCTGCCTTGCCCTTCCTTGCCCGCAGTGGCAGAGTCACCCTTGGTAAATCTGTAGGGGCTACTAGCAATCACCTTGTCCATTGTGTGGCTGGAAATGGCTTCTAGGAGATTCATTTTATAACTTTCCCAGGGATAGAGGTGAGGCTTGTAGCTACCAGAATCCTGTTCTTGCCCTCTTTGAAGATGGGTGTGACATTTGCATTTTTCCCGTCATCAGGAACCTGCCCTTATCACCACAATGTTTCAGTGATAGTAACACCAGCTGCATCCCATCTGGTCCCGTTGGCTCCGGTATGGCCAGTTGGGCTCAAGAGCTTCCGAACTGTCTTCCTTTACAGCAGGTGATCTCCAGTCCTGCAGGAGGCTCAGGGCCCTGGGAGGCCTGAGGGCAAAACTAACTGGTAAAAACTGAGGTAAAAAAGGCAAACAGTACTTTGGTTTTTTTCATGTCCTTTGCCACTTTTTCCACCAGGCAGTAGGTCCACATTTTCCTTTGTGACGTTTTGGCTGCCCCTTAATGCGTCAGTCATATTCTAGTATCGTTTCATAGGTAGCTTCTCTGAAAGACCTGCTATAGGTGAACAGCATCTCCATATAGATACTCTAAAAAAGGACATGGGTAATGCATAGAAAATTCTGATGGCAACAGAAAAGGTTGATTGAAATTTTCCAAGTAGAAGCATGGAATTATATAATGAAAGTTGACGGTGAAGGTTTTAAATTTATAGGAATCACTCTTCACACAGTGGTTTCACCTGTAGGAGTGAGTTTTACAAGATATTTTGAAGGGCACTAGTTTTGACATTAAAAAAAAAAGATACCTGCATGGATCTTTGTGTGATACCTATTTCTATTAGATGTAAACTCTGTCTAAAAATCCAAACCCCAATGTCTTTGGAGGTGTACTTCTGCGATGCCTACAAACTTACTGGTTTAGAAGAAAAGGTCCATCACTAGGTTTCCTCTAGATTGTCAGGTACCAAGCAGTGTCAAGACACTGGACTTGGAATTACACGGGTCACTACCCTGGGCTGGGGTGGTGTTTTCTATGGTCTCTGTTGACATTAATGGTGAATATTAACATTTAAAGAACCTTTTAACATTCTCTAATCTCTTTTTAAAATGCACTTGCAGTCATGGGAAATTCCTTTTTGTACTTTCCCATCTTGTGATTGAGTGCACTCTTGCATGTGAAATCTCTGTGTCTGAGTCACTATTTATCACAGGAGGAATAAAACCTGAAAAGCATGCCACAATTTTGATACTCCCTCGGGTCATGTGGTAAGAGTAGAAAGAAATAATTTAAATTTACTAGTCTAACAGGGGAAAAGATCTTTTTTTCGATGTTTTTCTTGCCTCTTCACTTCCAAAATTTGATTTATCGGTGAATGTTATCTACAATGGAACACTTCTGATGAAGAATTATTTTTTTATGTAGCACTCTTGTAGCTGTTCCTATCAACTTCTACAACTTAAATAATTTAATTTATTTTAAGAATGGGTTATACAGGTGGGTTTTTTTATGTAAGAAGGATTATATGCAAAACTAAACATTTTTCAGTAGTTCCTGAGTTAGCATTCTCTATACGTTCAAGTGCATCTGACTGTGCGTTTGATACTAAAGACGTTTCTATAATTAAATTGTATTTTAGTCCTTAAAGAGGAAGCTTTTCAGCAAGCTGAATTTCAAATGTAACAAACAAAATGTCAACTAAATCCTCTTAAGCCACAGCCCATTAAATGAGTAAAATTAGTATTCAAAGGGTTTTTTTATAGCTGTGGGTGTTGCACTTGGCAGTTATTCAGGAAATATAAGTTTTAATATTCAGACCATCATTTCACATAGTATTACTCCTATCAGTAGCTCCTCCTGAAGGGAAATGTATTTTTGAGTGAACGCTTCAAGTTTTTTAGGTCTTGGTTTGTGCTGTTTGCAGAATTCCTGCTGAGTGTAATCGTAGAATCACTGAACGGTTTGAGTTGAAAGGGACCTTCAAGATCATCTTGTTCCAAACCCCCCTGCCACGGGCAGGGCAGTGAGATCCCTTTCATGTAAAGACCTGTGGAAACTGCAACTCTTGCAAGTTTTGATAAGCTGGTGAGCAGTGAAAAATTACCCCGTGGAGAATCCCACACCTGTGGGGACAAGGCCACCGGAACCACGGGTGAGGGTTCAGCTGGGGCAGACGTGCACTTTGCTGACAGCCTCCTCGTGCCTGCAGCTTGCTGCCTGGAGGTCACCACCACCACAGCTCTACCAGTGGAGCAGGTCACGTCTACCTGAAGTGACCTTTTTTACTTCCCCTTCTCCATCCTAGGAAGTGTTTTTCTTCCAGCATCTCCCATATCCATGCCTTTGGCATTGGTTCTGCTGCGGCCTCTCCTGTTGTTTTTAATATGTGGTTTAGTTTTCTGGATGTTTTATTGTGAGGGACACAGGTTTTGTATCTGGGCATATGAAATCCATTGGTTATATTCACAAGTTCAATCTGGGTATCTGGTCATTGTACATGGTGCTTGAGTTTCAGATTCTACAAAACTTCCAGCAAGGGTTTAGAAACTTAATAAACATCTTGTGCTGTGATTAAGGTGAAGACCCTGAAGAAAGTTAGTTATTTGTAGGGCCATGGAAGTCACTGGCAAAGGGAAATTAAATCAAATGGTTAGTATCCCCTCTTAGATGCTGCGGTCTATCAGCAATCCTCTAACACCTAAACGTGGTGAATATGAAGCTTAACTTCATAAGTGAAGCGGTTTCTATGACATTTTGGGATATATATAATCCTTGTCCTTTGTCTGCTTGGATCAATGCAGTTTTGTTCTCATGTGGGACACTACTGCTGTTTTTGTGCACTGTATTTCATAAAAACAGTCTGCTATTAGACTAAATATGTTGTCTTCTCTGCTGCCTCTGGTCCTGAACATTTGGAAATAAGATACTATTTGTCACCTGTTTCTTCTGTGCAAAGATATTTACCTAAGACTAGTGGTTCATTGGTGATGAATCTGTTATCCTGAATGCCACAAGCTACCTAATCATTGCTTCCCAAAAAAGACTTTTGCTTGCAAAGTGGTATTACATTTTGTTATGTACTTAGGATTGTGTTATGTACTTAGGATTAATTACTTTTGATTGTTTTACAGTAGTGTTGCTACTGTCATTCTCATTAACCATCTCTATCTTTCTTTTTTGCAGTTTGGGTCCTGTGTTTGCTCTGTTTGTACCATTTTATTCCTCCATTCCAAGAGTGCAGGTGACACAAGTATTAGGCCACTTTTCTATCACAAACAAGACGCTGGTCTATATACTGGGTTTACAGGTATGGTATGTACTTGCTTGTTCATATTTTAAGGAATTACTAATATAATAGTATTTCTGTATATTTGTCTATGAATTTTGGTGCTTCCACACCTATGATTCCACATATGTTTAGCTAGTGAGAGTCCCATCAGCTGAAATATTGGAAAACATTGCTAGTATGCATTCCTATGTGCTGGAGTGGTGGGCAAGTGATCTCTTCTTCCATTGTCTGCTGCCTTGATTGTCTTGCACAGGAAAATATAATAGACAATTCTGTAATTATATTTTTTTGGGGTAAACGAAATGAACTGGATGAAAGTAGATGAAACTTGGTGCTAAGACATATGTATCTTTCAACTTTCTAATTTGCTTATATTCCTGCTTTTGTTTATTTTCCCCTTGTCTGTTCGAACTCACAAAAAGCTATAGAACACAGTATTTTTATAATAGACAATTCTGTAATTATATTTTTTGGGGGTAAATGAAATGAACTGGATGAAAGTAGATGAAAGATACATATGCCTTAGCACCAAGTTTCAACTTTCTAATTTGCTTATATTCTTGCTTTTGTTTATTTTCCCCTTGTCTGTTTGAGCTCACAAAAAGTCTATGGTAAGACTCTCAGATCAAGGTTTTGGCTGAATTCCACTTTTATGTAAATTAATACTATTTGTATATCAAGCATTACCATGCTATGTGTAGTTTAAAATAGTGTAACGTGGAGCACAGCAATAGCATTTTCTATGGTAAGACTCTCAGATCAAGGTTTTGGCTGAATTCCACTTTTATGTAAATTAATACTATTTGTATATCAAGCATTACCATGCTATGTGTAGTTTAAAATAGTGTAACGTGGAGCACAGCAATAGCATGTATTATGTTAAATATGAGTGGAAAAATATAGGTACTTGGTACAGAAAGGCTGTAGTTATTCACAAAAACAGCAAAAAACCCCAGCAGCCTAGAAGTGAATGGACAGTCATGTCACAACCTGAGTTATGAAACATGAGATCTGCAAAATGGTGAGACATTATACTCATTATTATATATTCCAGGGACTCAAAAATAGCTCTAGCACTAGCAATGGAAAGCACCATAGTTATGTGAAGTGTGGTAGAAAGTATTTTAGAATGAATGGTCAGTTTCAGAATATTGACTCATACTCCGCACGAATATTTCATTCAACCATTTTGCTGTTCAGCCTTTGGACTCTTCTGGTTTCTGCTCCAGCACCTTATTTTCTTGATCTTACAGAAATCTTGTTTCTTCTCTTCCAAACCCATCGATACCACTATTATTCTGGTCTTTGGGGAAACCGTGGTCTAGTCTGAGCTCTTTTCTGTCGTGTCCTTTGCCTTTCATGCACACACCACCCCCAGTGCAGATCACCACCGTTACTAATCGCTGTCTCTTTGCTGGATCTTTCCCTGCCACGGACAGAACGATTGCTGCCGTCACACAGAGGCTGAGGGAAAAATCATTTACCTTCTCATTTGTAAACTCTGCCCTTATCTCAAGTCACTCTTTCCATAGGCAGAAGTGGAGAGGGAAGGTGTTCTCATGATTCAGTCGGCAGGGTGCAGAACTATTTTAGTAACCAGTATCAGTCTGATTTTCAGCCCGTTTTTCCCGTTGGTAATAACCTTCTCCAGGTGATGAATCACATACTTTACTAGAAACAATGGGCTGCCTTGTTGGCTTATCAGGATGTTTATTTTTTAAATTCACTCCAGCCTGTTTGTGTGATTTCATGTTGACAAATATGCCACGGGGTGAGAACTTTATTTCTTTAATTTTGGTGCTCACGTTGAGTCTCTCCATGGCTGCACATTTGAGAGCTTCACTTGCACTGCCTGCCCCACTTGGAACTCTTCTCCTCTTGCTGCTGAGTCATTTCCTTTGCTTCAGTCTGTCTTTTCAGACTTGTTTTTCTCTGCAGCCTATAACTGACATCCTGTTATACTTAGTATGCTATATGAAAATAAAATGTATTGTTCTGTAGAAGGAGAACAATTGTTGGATCCCTGTGTTTTTTCCACTTCTGCTACTTCTGGAATACGTCTTTTTTTAATGTTGAACTGACTTTTCTCAGAAATAGGTGTCTGACTTCTCTCATTGTCATGATAAGTACATAGCCTACGTAATACTGCAACGTAGTAGCTCAGACAACAACAGTTATGTAAAATTAAAATTTTAAATCACTGCTTTTGTCTTCTAGCTCTTAACCTCTGGTTCCTACATCTGGATTTTAGCCTTAAGTGGATTGGTAAGTCCTACTGTTTTAAAAATTGTGTGTTGCTTAAAGCACTGTCTTATATGTACAATCAGTCCAGTATATTTGGACTTGAACAGAAATTACTGAGTAATGTTTTTATTTGTAATGGTAAGTAGAAAGTTTTCATCTTTGGCTTGGCCATGACTGGTTAGTAATAAATGGGCAGACAACAGAAGTCCTGGTTAATGTTTGCAGGTTGCCGCTGCTGTCTGACCTCCTAAAATTAATTTCACTGCCATGGATATAGCTTTAGACCCACAACTGTAAATGAGACTATTGAGGAAATGGTAGAAATATTTACCCTATTTATTTTTTTCCAGTTTTCAGTAAGCCTCGAGGTTTTGTTCCAGGAAGCAGCTTTTAACAACTTTGCTGTGAGGATTTTTAATGTTTTGCTGTTCTCCTAGGACATCTAAATAGCCATTTCTCACTATGGTAACAGCAGTAAGAGTGCAAAATCTCTCTCTTCATACCAGTCAGATAAAGCCAGTGTGGTCTGTCTTTTTCCTTTCCGACTCTGTTCTTAGTACTAAGGCACTTAGTGCTAAAATAGATTGTAATAAATCTTCCAGATTGTTAGATACCGATAAGCTTCTTTTTAAATTTTGCAGACTTAGAAGTTAGGAGCTCAGACTCTTCATTTCTTGGCCCGAAATACTGTCTGCTTTTGCAACAGTGAAAGTGCCACCTCTTCCAAATCAGCTGACTGTTAAGGTGATGCAATCTTAAGAAGAACTTAAATTGTGCCCTTGCTGTTTGGGACCTACTAATTTGAAATTGCGGTGAGCTCAGAGTGAAATGCCTGTTGACACTTCACGTATTGCTGCTGTAACTCAGGAGTCTGGTCTCTTACCATTTGCATTGGCTGCTCCAAAATACTGTGTGAGCTCACAGGATAACTAACCGGAGTGACGGAGCAGTAAAGAGTGAAGCCTGCTCAGCAGTTTGGTCTGATCGTGAATATCCAGGCAAACAGGACAACTCACAAACCAGAGTTTCTCTCTGGTGGAGGGATCAGCCCAAGCCTCTGTGCCCACCTAAGGATTTGTGACTTCCTCCAAACGTACTACCCTTCCTGTTACTCTTCTGGCTCTTTTAATAGCCCTTCCTTTTAAACAGGTGTTCATTAGAGAGGGAAGGAAAGGAAAGAAAAGGAAAGGCATTTTAATCTCTCTTTCCTGGTGGCAGGAACTGCGTGTATACTTGGTTAGACAGACTTATAAAGTACGGCTTAAATATTATTTTTTTCATAATATATTATGCAGTTCTTTTTCAGTTCTCTTTTAATGTACAGTTTTATTCAGCTGTATAATGCAACTTTCCTAGGATTCTTTTCATAAATTACTTTTTTTTTTGGCAGTACGTTTTACATAGGTTCAAGTCCATAGGAATAAATTGAGCTTTCTCTGGCTTAAAAAATGAAGTTTTCATATTGCTGCAGTCAGCATTAATTAAGTCATCATCAATGATGATGTGTTTTCAGTCTCATTGTTTTCTGCAGCAAGCAGAGAGCTGCACTCTGCTGTTTCATAATAAGTGCTACAATTAGGAAATAAGTTCATGTTATGAATTTCAGCCATTTTTTGCACAGAACATCTGTCACACTTCTGTGAATAAGAAGCCTCTGTTGTAAATGATAATTTGGCATCTTTAGAGAAAAGTTGGTAAAGGAGTAAAGTTTCACATTATATTAAATCATCTGAAGAGGGATATGAAACACTATAAGCATTACAAGTGTAGACACTTGATAACATATGTATATGTTCAATTACAGAAATATGTAGGTTGTCAAATCGATATTAAATCATTCTGACAACCTATGCATATTTTTGTAATTCTTACTGCTTTTGACATTTTCTAACATACTCCATCTTTGTTGAATCAATTTTTCATGTATTCGTACAAAAAGGCTGAGTAAATACATGAACAGCAAGTCAGATAGGTGTGATATTTAGTCACTAGTTCTTTGCCTGTTAGACACATCAGTGTATTTTTAGCTCTGACTTGTGCTGTGATTAAGGTGAAGACCCTGAAGAAAGTTAGTTATTTGTAGGGCCATGGAAGTCACTGGCAAAGGGAAATTAAATCAAATGGTTAGTATCCCCTCTTAGATGCTGCGGTCTATCAGCAATCCTCTAACACCTAAACGTGGTGAATATGAAGCTTAACTTCATAAGTGAAGCGGTTTCTATGACATTTTGGGATATATATAATCCTTGTCCTTTGTCTGCTTGGATCAATGCAGTTTTGTTCTCATGTGGGACACTACTGCTGTTTTTGTGCACTGTATTTCATAAAAACAGTCTGCTATTAGACTAAATATGTTGTCTTCTCTGCTGCCTCTGGTCCTGAACATTTGGAAATAAGATACTATTTGTCACCTGTTTCTTCTGTGCAAAGATATTTACCTAAGACTAGTGGTTCATTGGTGATGAATCTGTTATCCTGAATGCCACAAGCTACCTAATCATTGCTTCCCAAAAAAGACTTTTGCTTGCAAAGTGGTATTACATTTTGTTATGTACTTAGGATTGTGTTATGTACTTAGGATTAATTACTTTTGATTGTTTTACAGTAGTGTTGCTACTGTCATTCTCATTAACCATCTCTATCTTTCTTTTTTGCAGTTTGGGTCCTGTGTTTGCTCTGTTTGTACCATTTTATTCCTCCATTCCAAGAGTGCAGGTGACACAAGTATTAGGCCACTTTTCTATCACAAACAAGACGCTGGTCTATATACTGGGTTTACAGGTATGGTATGTACTTGCTTGTTCATATTTTAAGGAATTACTAATATAATAGTATTTCTGTATATTTGTCTATGAATTTTGGTGCTTCCACACCTATGATTCCACATATGTTTAGCTAGTGAGAGTCCCATCAGCTGAAATATTGGAAAACATTGCTAGTATGCATTCCTATGTGCTGGAGTGGTGGGCAAGTGATCTCTTCTTCCATTGTCTGCTGCCTTGATTGTCTTGCACAGGAAAATATAATAGACAATTCTGTAATTATATTTTTTGGGGGTAAATGAAATGAACTGGATGAAAGTAGATGAAAGATACATATGCCTTAGCACCAAGTTTCAACTTTCTAATTTGCTTATATTCTTGCTTTTGTTTATTTTCCCCTTGTCTGTTTGAGCTCACAAAAAGTCTATGGTAAGACTCTCAGATCAAGGTTTTGGCTGAATTCCACTTTTATGTAAATTAATACTATTTGTATATCAAGCATTACCATGCTACGTGTAGTTTAAAATAGTGTAATGTGGAGCACAGCAATATCATGTAGTATTATGTTAAATATGAGTGGAAAAATATAGGTACTTGGTACAGAAAGGCTGTAGTTATTCACAAAAACAGCAAAAAACCCCAGCAGCCTAGAAGTGAATGGACAGTCATGTCACAACCTGAGTTATGAAACATGAGATCTGCAAAATGGTGAGACATTATACTCATTATTATATATTCCAGGGACTCAAAAATAGCTCTAGCACTAGCAATGGAAAGCACCATAGTTATGTGAAGTGTGGTAGAAAGTATTTTAGAATGAATGGTCAGTTTCAGAATATTGACTCATACTCCGCACGAATATTTCATTCAACCATTTTGCTGTTCAGCCTTTGGACTCTTCTGGTTTCTGCTCCAGCACCTTATTTTCTGGATCTTAGGTATATGAAGTGTGGTAGAAAGTATTTTAGAATGAATGGTCAGTTTCAGAATATTGACTCATACTCCGCACGAATATTTCATTCAACCATTTTGCTGTTCAGCCTTTGGACTCTCCTGGTTTCTGCTCCAGCACCTTATTTTCTTGATCTTACAGAAATCTTGTTTCTTCTCTTCCAAACCCATCGATACCACTATTATTCTGGTCTTTGGGGAAACCGTGGTCTAGTCTGAGCTCTTTTCTGTCGTGTCCTTTGCCTTTCATGCACACACCACCCCCAGTGCAGATCACCACCGTTACTAATCGCTGTCTCTTTGCTGGATCTTTCCCTGCCACGGACAGAACGATTGCTGCCGTCACACAGAGGCTGAGGGAAAAATCATTTACCTTCTCATTTGTAAACTCTGCCCTTATCTCAAGTCACTCTTTCCATAGGCAGAAGTGGAGAGGGAAGGTGTTCTCATGATTCAGTCAGCAGGGTGCAGAACTATTTTAGTAACCAGTATCAGTCTGATTTTCAGCCCGTTTTTCCCGTTGGTAATAACCTTCTCCAGGTGATGAATCACATACTTTACTAGAAACAATGGGCTGCCTTGTTGGCTTATCAGGATGTTTATTTTTTAAATTCACTCCAGCCTGTTTGTGTGATTTCATGTTGACAAATATGCCACGGGGTGAGAACTTTATTTCTTTAATTTTGGTGCTCACGTTGAGTCTCTCCATGGCTGCACATTTGAGAGCTTCACTTGCACTGCCTGCCCCACTTGGAACTCTTCTCCTCTTGCTGCTGAGTCATTTCCTTTGCTTCAGTCTGTCTTTTCAGACTTGTTTTTCTCTGCAGCCTATAACTGACATCCTGTTATACTTAGTATGCTATATGAAAATAAAATGTATTGTTCTGTAGAAGGAGAACAATTGTTGGATCCCTGTGTTTTTTCCACTTCTGCTACTTCTGGAATACGTCTTTTTTTAATGTTGAACTGACTTTTCTCAGAAATAGGTGTCTGACTTCTCTCATTGTCATGATAAGTACATAGCCTACGTAATACTGCAACGTAGTAGCTCAGACAACAACAGTTATGTAAAATTAAAATTTTAAATCACTGCTTTTGTCTTCTAGCTCTTAACCTCTGGTTCCTACATCTGGATTTTAGCCTTAAGTGGATTGGTAAGTCCTACTGTTTTAAAAATTGTGTGTTGCTTAAAGCACTGTCTTATATGTACAATCAGTCCAGTATATTTGGACTTGAACAGAAATTACTGAGTAATGTTTTTATTTGTAATGGTAAGTAGAAAGTTTTCATCTTTGGCTTGGCCATGAC